AAAACAAAAATAATAATAAAGAAATTTTTTTAGAAAGATAGATTTTCTCCTCCTTTTGGAAATTGTGTCCTAAATGCTGTAAAAGCATATGCTGTGTGTGCTGAGAAGTGCCAGACAGCTACATATAAGTTAAATTTAAAAAGTATAGTTATTTGTGTTGTTTATTCCCCTCACATTCTTTTATTTTTCAAAAACATCCTTTGGCAGAGGTCACGCATTATTGCTGGCATTCAAACTATCCACATTCAACCCTTTTCTCTCTTGGAAAAAAAGACATTTCTCCCTTTACACAATGAGTAAAACCAGGAATGTTTTGGAGCACGTTATTTACAAATTTCGTTTTCCTCGGGGCAGCAGAGGTGTAATTCCCCAGGCTGCTGGGGGCATCCTTCCAGTCCTTCTGCTGTCCGGTGAAGTTTTGATTGCACCTTCAGGGACCGAGCTGCTTAGACAAACTCTCGGCTTGCGCTCTGCTCCCTGCACAGATCCTGCCCTCTCCTCCGCTCCCTGCGGCCACTTAGTGAATCCAATCATGAGCTAATCCGTTTGGTGATGATAATATATGGGGAGGGGAATATGTTTTCCAGGAAGGTTTTTTTTTATTCCAGGTCAGTTTTCTGTATGAGCACAGGAGTGAAGGTGAGGAGGGAGCGACTGGGGGGCCAGCTGAAGTGGGTGCTGCTGCCAGAGTAACGCGTGTGTCACTGCAGCTGAAGTGTTGACATCTTCTGATCTCTGGAGGCATCCCGGCATCCAGCCGACAGCCCAGGGAAGGCAAACAGAGTTGACTGTAATTATTAGCAGTGGAGCGGACTTATTTTAAGGTGTTTACACTAAGGAAGGGATGGGGATGTGTAAGGTTGAGCTGTCCAGGCTGATACAAATCACTGGTATGAAAAAAAAGAGTTCAGGAAAATTTAGAGGGAACATCACCACAGAAAATTATGGTATCTTATTGCTGTTTAAACAAAAAAGCAAAAACCACGACTTTTCAACCTGAAGAGTTGAGAGAGAAATACAGATAAGTTATAAATTTGTATTAGAAAATTAGAAATGCACCTAAATTCTACCAGATAAATAAGATGTTGGGGTTTAGATGCTTCTGCTTCCGTTCAGGTTCTGGAAGATCCACTCAAATTTCATTTAATGTTTATTAAATGCTTGATTTCTTTCATGAGACAAAAGAGAAATTTAAGGCTCATTGTTAATTTGCCTATGATTGTTTTTTAAGCTGCGTAGACTTTACTGTTGACTTTGTTTAAAATATAGACGATCTCATTTAATTGCCTGAAAAAAAAAAATCATGTTCTTATCAAATTAAAAATAACCTTGAAGTCACAGAGTCTTATTTAAGGTCATAATTTTAAATGCCTGAAATGCCAGAATTAAGGAGGTTTTTCTACATGCTTCTATTTCTTTTAATCGGGTTTCTGTAGAGCATAGTTCTTTGTGAAGCCCAGAGTTATTTTCGCAAAAGGAGGAGAACTGCCTGGTGTTGACCTCTCCTAAATGAGCAATTCAGGGTTATCAAATCAGACAGCAAGGGACTGGAGGAACCAAGGATCGCACAGGGTACAGCCATTACCTATTAGTATAACTCCACATTAATTTTAAATTGCATTTTTAAAACCTAATTGAGCAGCATTTTCAAGCTCTGTTCAGTGTGAGCAGGACATAAATTGAAACAGTATGTACCAGGAACCCTCTAATAAGCAGGGAGCACTGCTGCCTTTCTTTCCTCTTCTATAAAATCAGTAGTAATGCCCTGACATTAAAAAGAAGAATTTAATTAAGAGATCATGGCAGTGCATCTGAACTCTGACTGGCTAATGGCTTACCGGTGTAAGGGATACACGCTGAAATGAATGCAGGGTATTTTCTTTAACATTCTTTTTTAAGTGAGAACTCTCTTCTGTTTGAACTTTTCATCATTTTAATGATGGAAAAATATTTTAATGGATAAGCTGTACGTGAAGATAGACTTTGAAGATGTAATTGTGCAGTCGGATTCCCAAGAAACAAATCCTAATAAAGCGAAATTTGAGCAACTACTCTAAGGCTTGTAAGATGAAGTGGTAGGTAATCACTGATGTAAATAGAACAGAAAATCCTAGGTTTTGTTGTTGGTGTAGAACTGTAAAGCTTGTTAAATTTCATTTTGATTAATTGCTCTGAAAGTGCATTAATACTTCATTTTAAGTAGGAGCCCATTTCACTTTGTTTCTCTAACATGAAGCGTGCAGACCAGCTTAAGTAAGCAAGTTCTGAGCTTCGGATGGTGAATTATTCTACACAGCAAGCTTAGATGTGCTTCTCTGCGGCAGACTGATTGCTTGGCATTCAAATTTAAAGCACTGGACTTATTGAAGGGAGTCCTTCCTTTTAGAAAATTCTCTCATATTTATTTTTCCCTTCATAGCAGAGCAAGAATGACTGCGTTACATGGGTTACTTGCCAAGCCTGCTATCATATCATTTTTAAAACTACACCTTCTGTTTCTTGTATGCTGCTTGGTCATTTTAACAATTACATGGCAAGTTTGTGTTTAGTGGGGCAGCTTGACTTCCCTTTGCTGGCTGGCTGTGGTGTGGCGATGAGAGCATGCTCTGTGGGAGGGCACGGACAAGCACGAGAGGAAGAAAGTACCATGAGGTTTGTTTATTTTGGTTACTTCAGGTCACTAGATCCAAGTTTTATATTAAGTCATCATTCCAGAGAGTTCAAGCCTTTGGTCGAAACTGAGGCGGGGGGAAAAGTAGCTTGAAAATCCTGCTTTCGGATTTAGCTTTTGCTATTGAGAGAAGCCAGCTAACTGGAGGGGGAGGTGCACCTCCCACAAAATAATTTTACTGTAGCTTAAGCAGCACTGAAATAAAGCCTTTAACATCACCTCTCATTTGTGTGATATTGGAATTTAATAATTTCATTGATCCCTGAAGTTCAATAAGGCCTTTTATTCGTAGGAGTCTTTGCAGGCATCAGCAGACTTCCTTAATTCTTCTTAATAGGAGGCAGATATTCGCAGAGCTGAGGAGGGAGCCGGTGCCTGCCGCAGGGTGACTCGGCTGTGCTGCGGTGGATCCAGGTTTCCAAGTGCCCAACCTCCGTTGCTTTTGCCCTGTGAACACCCTGTCAGATAGCATCTATGTGATAAGCAGGCCTTTGGTGGTTACGGGATGGTGACTGTTTTGGGGAGAAGCAGTGAGAGTACCTTTTGGAAGTGTCTCGTGCACCAGCTTCTTTTGGAGATCTGGTTTTACTCTCTGCATTCCACTGTACTTTCTGGCCCGGCCCTGCAGGCTGAGCTTACCCCTGGGTAGCAGCTCCCTGCTGTTTCTGGTGTAACGGCAAAGAGGGTGGCTGGGGGGGGAAAAACTGGGTGGTGTCTTCATGAAATGAGGAAGAGTCACACCAATAAACCTGCTGCTGATAAAGGTGATGGCATGGTCTTTGCAGTGGAATACCAGTGACTGAAATCTGCCACGTTGGTATAAATGAACGTTTTCACCCAAGGATTGTAGTAAAGCATAGGATGGGTGCTTTGACTGCTGCAAGAAAGATGGCAGAAGTTAAAATTCATCCGTTTAAAAATATCAATAGTTAAAATTAATACTTGTTTCAGTGAGTTTGAAGCAGTGCTGAACCCCTGGCTAATCTACCGCAAAACTGTTTAGAGTGACAAACCCATGCTAAGATCACGAAGGGTAGATGTAAAATGAAGTGTTTGAGTATTATGAAGTACTCCTGCCTGTGACAGGAGGCCGGCTAATATACACATGCAGCATTAACTCATTTCCTTTTTCTCCCCTTTCTATTTTTGCCACAGGCTTTCAGGTTATTAGATTTTGTGGCTCAGCAGTGCTGCTTCTTGTGTTAGACAGCAAGCTCGGAGTTCAAGACCTCAGTGAAGTTTCTCATTCCGGGGGTTGATTAGAGCTAAAAATGTCTGTAGAGGTCACGTTTTGCTATGTATCGAGCAGAGCAGGCGATGCAGTTACAAGGGAATGACGATGTCTTTCTGGTGACTGAGCAAAGCTGAGTGCTCAGAAACTGTATCCCGGTCGGGGAATAACATGCGGTTGATCCATGGGAGAGAGCAGGAACATCGCTTGTTCACTTGGTGCATGTTTCTGGGTTTTTTTTTTTGTTTGGTTGGTTTTTTTAATGCTAACTTTTGGTGGAGGGTGTGTTCTTCGATTAAAATCAAAATTGAGCATTTACTATGAATGGGAATAAGGGAAAAGGGTCACAAAAGAGCTCAAACTGTTTCTACCTTACTGACCTCTCACCCTGCCCCGCAGCTCCAGACAGATTAAATTTTTCAGTGATTTGTGGCAGCTATGATTTTTTCAGAACTCTTTAAGCTTCTTCCTTTAAATGAGATATACATCATTCCTCTTTTAGCAGTTTCCTTCCCTCCCCTTTTTATTTCAACTAGCTTTAGGTAGATAGGTGGTGCTTAGTATAACAAAGGTACAATTTTAGAAGGTATTGAATTTGGGCAGATAAAAGGGAGCGTTAAAAAGGAAACATTGGCTGGTTGCTGAAAAAGAGCTGTTGAAAACCTATGAAATGCCTCGATGCCAGGTTTATTTTAAATATTTCTTACAATACACCCAGTATATCTGTTAGAATTTTATTTAAAGTTGAATGGATTTTCTTAGGAGTACAACTGCTGCTGCTGGGCTCCTCTGCGGTTCCAGCTATGAAGCAACGGCAGGTGTGTGTGGCGGGGTCATAACGGCAGTTGAGTATGTCGTGGTCATATTTTGTGGCAGTGTGAAAGCCTGATGGTGCTTTTCACCCCCAAACTTGATTCTGGAATGTTTTTGAGTACTGCTTGCCTGTTGACGGGACCTCAGCACTGAGCTCTTCTGCCATGGAAATGCAGCACGGGGCGAATGCATTTGGTGTTTTTATGTACTCTTTGCATGATGATCATGATAAATGTCTTTTCTATTTTTACGAGATAACTCTGCCTTGGTTTCTCTTACTTTCAGAGAAGAAATGGGGAAGATATTCCAGTTGCTCAGACTAAAAATATCAATCACAGAAGATTTGCTGCTACCTTTAAGTTGCAAGAGGTGACAAAAACTGACCAGGATTTATACCGCTGTGTGACTCAGTCAGAGAGAGGTTCGGGAGTGTCAAATTTTGCTCAACTTATTGTTCGAGGTAAAGTTTTAATTGCTTTCATTTTATCCATTTAAATGCTCTTAATACCGGTGCTTTCTACTTACACCTTTTATTTAGCCTACAGATGCCTTGATCTGAAATGATCATACAAAGATAGCCCTATGAGGCTTCTGAAATTGTCATAAAATGAAAGACTGGTTTGCAAAACTTCTTACAACTTCTTTCCATAGAATACATCTGTGTAAAAACCCTGATCTTGCAATGCGTGTAACATGCCTGTATGCTTTTCTGTGGATGCTATTTGTTGAACTTAAGGTGAAAACTGCTTAACTTTTCATAAATATTTCTACAGGTGTGAGAGAATCCACTGTAGTTAGTCCCTTTTAAAACCTGTTGCCTTGAGCGGACTGGTAGTACAGCAAATAATATACATTGTTCTGTTACCTGGAAGACAGATGTATAAAAATAGTTGTAAACTTTCACCTGCCCAAGGACTGAGAGCATTATGGAGATGTTCTATGATGATTTCCAACCTCTGAAGTAGGAGAAAGAAAATGAAAAACTTGCTTTTTTCTACTTGAAATACTTTTTTGTTGCAATGCATTCAGAAGCCTGCTGAGGTGCAACCATAGCTTGTGTGTGGTGATCGGGTTCGTGATGTATTTATGCATTTTGTGTTCTGGAAGCGCGTCTTCTGACTGGCAAAGGATATGGTTGAATATAGGAGTTCAGTTTTTACTTCTAAAAGTCACTTGCTGTGTGGCCTGGGATAAGCTATGAAGTATCTCCTTGCCTAATTGTGTCACCTGCAAAATTGCCCATTTCACTCTTAGTTGTGAGGAGGCTTAATGTTTTTGAAGTGGGGGAAAAAGAAGTGGTGTACAGAATCTGCCTGTGATGCTGCTGCCTGGTGCGGGGGCTGTTTTGGCCAGGTAAGTGCAGGGGTCAGGTGTGTGATGGGCTCTCGCTTGACTCGTTGGTCCAGCAATCGGCTGTTTGGTCAGTCGGCATCTGGGATTCAGCCACTGCCTCTGGAGCCGGGACAGGAAAAGCAAGTTCATCCTCAGCTTGTAGAAATAAAAGTAGCATAGGAAATGCTCTAAGATACTTGGTATCTGGCATTTACTGGCAGAGGTCTTTTCCCTGGGAGACCAGTTGATTGAGGTCAACTAGGTTTTATGCCTTCAATAAAAATGGGCTTTGCTGACCATATGAGGATTTAGACAATATGTTAACAGCTTTTTTTTATTCTGTAGATGTACTTTTTGTCCAGCAAAGTGCAAGATAGCCTTCATCCTAATACAATGAAGTTAGTCCTGTTACAGCGAAAACAGACTTTCTGTTTTGTTGTTAGAAAAGCAGGGCAAATGGATGTATTTATACAATAAATGAAGTTTTCTATTTTTTTCTATTATAATAGAGCACTAAAATGGTGTTTAAACCAGTATTTCTCTCAAAAAATGAGATAATAATATCAAACTTCATAGTACTCTCTTTTTCAATGCAGCGTATTGTTCTGCTGAGAAGCTTTGGTCATTTGATAGAGAATACCATCTTTATGGCTCAAAACATAAACTTGATATCTAGCTATATATACAACAGCTATATAGGTTTCATATTTTAAGGTTAATTTTACTTTTTGTATGCTGTGTGCATTGGAATTAAGGTTGGGGTTTTTATATATATATAATTTAAAAAAAGAAAAATAAAAGAAAAAGATTAATCTTCTAAAAACATTTTCATCTCTCTGACATCATGGTAGAGAACAAAGATTTATGTTTTATAGTAGGATTTATTGCTTGCTGTTATATTTGAAAAGCAATATACAGTAATATATTTTCTTGTTTGTCTGGATAACCACTAAATAAATCTTGTTAGCCAAAAAAGCATATCCTTAGGGATCAGCTACCCTGGTGTTAAAACTGTACTGAAAATTAACCATAATGACAGGTCCTATATCTCAGTGGCACTTTAAAGCTGACATCCTGCTACATGGATACAAAAGATGATAATTTTAAAGGAAATTTTTGGGCCACTGATACGAATTGCCTTTAATAAGAGCTGGCATAGTATTGCCCATTGTCAAAGATGACCCAGGGGGAAGAGTTTATTAGTGCGTTTCCTTCTAAACTGGAAGTGACAGGGCATGCTTGGGGCATTTTTGTTGCTGTTTGTAACAAATGAAAATTTCGCTACAGAATTCTCATGCTGAAGAGTATTGATCTGTGTGTTCTCACAGCCAGAGGAGGGGAAAAAAAAGATGAAACACAATTTACTTTGTCATGGCTTTAGTATTGCTTCCAGATCATTTTGAGTAATGATAAGGTCTTCGGTTTGTAGAAGCCAAACTTTATTGACAACACTGGTTATTAGAGAGTGAGGGATGAGGAACAGGAGTTGTTGCCCAGTAACTTAAAACCTGGGTGTTTAGGTACGTGGCCGAGATCCTTACGTATTCCACATCTGTACAGACATGTGGTACCATAAGATAGGTGTACAGGCATCTGATGAGCAGTCCATAAGTTAGTCTTGGTAATGAAAATTTCCAGTTATATAATATACATCATGTTGAAACATCATTATTTCATTTTGAGCTTTAACAGAAGAATTACATTCAGTGGAGTTCTAAACTTTATTACAAATGTAGTTACCTGGGAGGGATGGTATACATTTAAAGACCCTGAAAGGGATAATGCAATTACTCTGATTAATTTTTTGAAGAAAAATCAGACTAGGATAGAATTTGTAATTCAATTACGACATTTTACCAAAAGTAGTTCTAGTCAGTGATTTAATGTCTCACCTTTGCTTAGAGCTGGTCTTCAGCTCCCAGCTCAGTGGCTGTGTTGTATTGATTTTTTTACATGGTTTCTATGGCATTGCTGTCATTCTTGGATACGTGTAGAAGGAGTTCTCCCTTTCCCCTTCCTTTTACAGGAAGCTTGGTGCTGTCATTACTGTTAGTTGACTTATCCTCCTGAACAGGTCCATCTGATTAATCATCTATTTATGTTTTCCCTTGGTGGCTGGTAAATTGGCAATTTCTGGGAAGGTAGTTTCTTGAAGTCTTCAGGGTTGTCTGCGCTGGAACTTGAGGGAGATGCTGGGAGGAACAGTAGCTGTGATATGTAAGTAAGAGTGAACAAGAAGACACTGACAGTTTCTTTCTTTTTACTTGTTTCTTACTTGCTTTTGAGAACAAGTGTATCGTGCTCTCAAAGTCTTTCTGCTCCTTCTAGTACTTAACATAGAATTGTAGAAATTAAGTGCCCAAAGACATCACCGGTGCCCTGGCTTATACGTGTGCTTGCTATATACAATTGCGTAGACTTTCCAAATTACAGTACCAAATAGCATTGCTCTCTTCAGTCAGTAAAGATCTTTGCCCTTTAACCAGTTCTTGTACTATGTCATTGTTCAGAGCTCTTAAAAACTGCTGGAATATTTGTCTGAAGGTGGCAATATTTATCAGAAAAGCGACCTTGTGCATCAAGAAACGAGCTAGTTTTCATCACAGCAATTGTGATCAACTTCTTGGTTGACTTGGCATGTTAAAAGTGGCTGTCAGGAGGAGATGAAACTAATGTTGCTTTCTTATGTGGTTTGTTAGCAAAACTTCATAGTATAATCCCAATTTAGTTTGTCCCTGTTTGGAATGTCTTACACTCAGGCAGTCCTGCAGGGACCGTGAACGAAACCACCAGTTTCTTTGACTGCAGTGGATCTGGAAGATCCACTTCAGTGCTAAGTCTTTCTTTTTTTTTTTTTTTTTTTTTTTTAATTTTCATGAAACAGCAGTTTGTTGCTCTGATTGTCAAAAAAAACCCCAAGGAAACCACTCTCTCAAATGGTATAAGGAGTTACACTTTACATAAAGTATTTGTATGCTTTGCCGAGCTTGTTTTCCTTAAAGTAGCTACACGTTGTTAACAGACTAATTGTACAAAACTTAATATTATGCTATTAAATAGTGCAAAATCAGCAGGAAATAAGGTGTGTTTTATTTTGTGTAGTGGATCTTAGATAGATTATTTGGAAGACAATGTAGATTAGTGTTAAAGACAGGGAAGAAAAATAATGAAAAAGACTCTGTATGAATCAACCGTCATGTTTGTTAATAATCTGTGGATAGCGCTACCATATGTGTGGTTCTACTGATAAGTTTCTAAGTTTTACTGGAGTCATAAATTATAAAAAATTTGGTGTTTTCACTAGGTGAATATAGTTTTTAACATTTCTTCATCCAACCCAAACAGCTCTTCTATGGTGGGGTCAAAGCAAGGGGAGTTCTACACCTTGATTTATAGTTCCAATATGGAAATGTACTGGTAAATCCAAGTTAGCAACAGAAAACGGAAGAAAGGCAGTTTTCTTCCACATGTTTTCCTTTACTGTCTTCTGACCGAGAAATCACAAGTTCTGGTAAACTGACCTGTTTGTATGGGTTTACTAACATGAAAAAAGTTATTTTGTTTCTTGTATTTGCTTTGGCTTGGCAAGTGGTCTCTTCTCTAAGTCATTTGGTTCAAGTTTTGGTGAGCTCTGAGGTGATATTCTTCTTTGTTTCCCTTACTGGACTTAATTTGCCATCAGGAGCAGTTTCTATTATGGAAGTAAGTTTGGCACCGATATTTCTACCTCTCTTGTCTGAAATTCCTTTAAGGATTTTATATAGGAAAACCAGCAATTTGACTGGTCCCCGGTGATGCCAGAACACTGTGAAGATGGAGATTGCCCCTGGGAAATACTTCTCATAGGAGCATTACTTTTTCCTCTTAAAAGAAAACTGAAGTATTTCCTTTTGATAAAGTTGTGGTTTGAAGTTCACTTTCCAAATTTCACTAGTACTTGTTTTGTCTGGAAAAAAGTGAAATCTCTGGACTTGCTACCAATGTCTGTCCTCAATTTTTCTACCTGGTTTATTTGTTCAGTATAGTAGTGGACTTAAAAATATGCCTGTCTAATGACATGGAGAGCACTAGGTAGCAGGTAGAAGAAAATGTGTCAGGTAGTCTGTATATATACTCCCTGCTTGTAAA